GCACGCACGCACGCACGCACGCACGCACGCACCCCCACGCACGCACACACAATAAATAAATAAATATATATATACACATATATATATATACACACACACACATTTATGTGCATATAATATGTCACGGATTGATGTGCCTTTGATTTTTTCTACATACATACAGGCAGGGTCTTTTATCCGTCTCCCGCTCGCTCTCCACCCATCTCCACCTCCCACTCTCTCTCTTCCATCTCCGTCTGCCCTGTCTCTATGTGTCAAAGGATGAGGTGTAGGTTACAGTGTAGGTCCGAGGCCCCAGGCCATGTCTTTGCCAGACAACGCGATGGGCCAGCCCTGGACCTGAATCGGCCTCGAAGGATCAAGGAACGCACTTTCTGTTCAGGGCTTAGGGCTCATACAGGATCTTGATACAAACCTTGTCACATAAGACTCTGGTTCATGGCACTTTTGTCAGCGACGGTGCAAATGCCTTCCGCACACTGAACTTGAATATCTTTCTCTTGTATAGATGAGAAGGCACACTTAGCCCATTTCGGCACTTCTTCCTGCGATGCTGGCCTCATGCCCAGAGTCTGCCCGACAGAACCTGGCTGGGAAGCGGGCGTCGGCTCCTTAAAGCCAGCTCGCTGGATCTGATCGAGGACATAGTCCGGGAACGAGGCCTCGAGATGCGCTCTGAACCCTGCAGCATCCCAAACACCGGCAACTCTAAAACCCTCCGGACACTCCAGCCTCTTCAAACGTCCGAACTGGCTTTGGCACGGCGCTGGCACAATGGATCTCGGCGTCCGCAGCGGGATTTTGGGATCAGAAACCGGTTCTACATGAAGGCAGAACTCAGTCTCGAAAGCACAGACAATTTTTCGGGCTTCGTCGCGCCATGACAAGAAAACATACTTTTCTCCGTATAGAAGCACCGCTGGCAACAAAATGGTTTGTCAAGCTCGCTTCCTTGAGCCTGCCACCCTGTGACACCCTGGCCATGCCAATCAATTCATTGGCTGACAGGGGGATGGACAAATTGCGCAGAAACGGGTTCTGGATAAGACGAACTGTACCTGCACACATCCCACCCTGTTGAATTCGCGAACCCAAAATGTCATGACCAAGCAGATGCGTAGCGGTGCAGGGGGCCGGCTGCAGAGTTGGCGTTGCCATCGCCAGGCCCATAAAATCCTGTATGGAACTCAGGATAGTTCGTAGAGTTGACCTCCTTCTCGCAGGAGTCGCGAGACTGGTTGTGTGACCATGACGTCCCCTTGAGAGGCTCTGCTCGTGTTCCAGCCATATCAGGATGGCAAAGCGACTTAAGGAAGGCAGCAAGTCCAGGCCCGTTGTTCTGTGAGTACCGATCCCTTCGTCGAGCCCTTCTCGCACTCTCATCCTCCCTGCGTGTAGACACTCCACCTTAGTAATATGTTCAGCACCGGCCACCATATCATGTGCTTTCACACTTCGCCTCTGCTGTGGCAGTGTCTATCTCACGAAGACGCCCACGGTCTCGATGTGGGACGCGAAAGGAAACATATCATAGCCTTGTCTTGCTAAAGCCCGCTTATCAGCCTCCCGTCGTGACTGCAACTAGATCTGCAACTAGATCCCAATGCTACTGCTAGGCTTCGAAAAGGCCCTTGAATCGCCGCAAAGTTTGCTACTGGCATCTCGTGAAGCATTTGACGTCGACGAGCTTGAAGGGCTGACCCGCAAGCGAGTCTCCAGCATCCTGACGTTTCTGGGCTGTTCTGTCTTGACAGTGCCTTTCAGACTGTACATTGGTAATACCTGAAAGTGACCATAGCTTGAAATAACCCCCATGTCGGCTGGTTGACCGACCTGTCGCCATGGATATCCCAGTTCGAACAGAACAGCTCATGGCAACAAACACACAACATGCACAAACAACTTCAAGGCTAACGTAGTCTACCCTGGCCAAGCCCACCTTTAATAGTATATTCTACAATGCCTTACAAAGGCACGAAGGTTATGTAAGTGCTCTGCGAAATCTCGGTACAAACATTGGAATGATTATGAGTGGTAGTAGCAATGTCATGGTAGCAATATCATGGACAGGCTGCAAAGTTGTAAATGTTGCTGTGTGTTATTTGTTGCTTTTGCTGCTGCTATTGGCGTTGGTGTGGCTGTTGTTGTTGGCATTGTTGTTGGCATTGCTGTTGATTTTACCGTTACTACTGCTGTTGGTGTTGGTGTTGGCGTCCCTGTTGCTGATGCAGTCGTTGTCCTTTGCACTGTCGCTGTCACGGTCGCTGTGGCTGCGGGTGTTGGCCTGGTCGTGGTTGCTGTTGCTGCGCTGTTACGTGATGCTGTTTGATGTTGCGGATGGAATCCGAAACACAAAGCCTCATAATGACTCATTCCATTGCAATCGGACGCTGGCACTGCACTGCTGACAAAACTTTCTTGAACGTGTTATAGGTTGTACTGTATGACCGGCGCAAGTCGCAAGTTTGCCATGTGCTCTTGTCTGTACAATTTCATATCTTCTTGACGAGCTAAGCTAAAATTTGCGGCAACATGGATCTGAATCAATCTAGCCTCGTCGCAAGCGGTGAGCTGAACTGCGTCCTTGCGGAAGGAGCTGTGCCCGCAGCCTAGGTGCTTCACTCAGTCAGTTTCTAAATCACTGGCATGTCACAACCACTGTTTCTAATCCGACTCGTCGCTACCGTACAATTGACTCTAGTCTAGTATAGTAGCATCAGCAGCTGGTACTACGGTACTACTCCAGAACTGTGGTTTTGACAGGAGTTGGGGGGAAATGGAGGCAAAGGGATCCAAGGGCAGGCTGCTGGTCGAGCAACTCATGTAGATGAGCAAATTGAGGTCGGGCATGGAGCGTATCAAGCTGACGCAGGCGTCGTCCTTCTTGCGGCCCCTCGAAGCTAGGCCAGTGCGAGGCGGATCCACCACCAAAAGGTGCGGGCCCCTGTCGGAGCCGGCGAGCCTTTGCAGAACTTCCTGAGCAGCTATCGGCCAAAAATCGCTACTGCTCGAACCTTTGAGTCTTTGAGCGTTCCGGGCTTCTGGCCTCGGCGATTAATTCATCGGTATGCATGCGCACAGGGCCGCAATATGCTTATGCTAAACGAACCAGAACCTGACCAGCTTGGAGTGCAAACGAAGCTTCGTCAGCAGCAAGCGGAGAGAAGCTGACAGCTTGTCTGAAGCTGCAGTCCTCGCCTAGGTCCCGAACGTGCGTGTGACTTATCATTGCTTGAACGTGTGTGTCCAACTGCGGACGCCGAAACCCCCGCCCAGCCCACGATTCTGGTGATGCGGAGTGATGTGTGCTTCGTGGGTGTCAAGGTCTTGAGAAAGGCTGTCAGGGCTTCGAGGTTCCACCTCATATCCTTACACTTCTGGCCTGGTGTGCCGCTGAAGCACTCACGACTTCGAGGTCCGGGACGATGTTGCGTGCATTGGCAGCGAAGGGTGCCACGCATTTAGGGTTCTCGTCGGAGCTGAGAAGAGCAACAGAAGCCCAGCCACGGCTACTCGCCAACGCGTGCGCAAGACTCAGGCCGATCACACCTTCAAGGCGAGGCAAAGCACCGGGAATTTCCTAAACATTCTTAACCCCGGTCTCCGCCTACTCCGGCGTGAAGCTCCAGCAGACGCAATGGCTCCTCCACCAGCTCACTCGTCTCTGCGACGAGGCTTTTCATGTTGCCTTAGTGACAGTGGTGGATCGTTCTCCTCTCGTTCGGCTGGTTCGGAGCAGGTCGTGGTTGGGAAGTCTGGAGTTCGAACCCCGAAACAAAACCGACTGGCCCACCCACATGCGCACCGAAAAAAGAGCGTGCAACTCTCCTAAGTCACAGCAAAGCAACGGAGGATCTCCTGAAAGACCGCGAGGTTGGCCTGGCTTCAGCAGGCCAATGCCGAGGCCGAGGCCCATGTCGTGGGCTCAGGGGGCATCCCAAAAAAAAGAGAGAAGGAAAGCCGTCTCGGCTTCAAGCGGCGGACTGCCGTCTCTAAAGGCACTGGCACACAACTGTGCATTTCTGTGATACATGCCGGGTTTGCTAGCAAACAAGTGCAAGATGTGCAACATGACTGCAAGGATGGAAGAGATTTCAATCTTAAACTCATTGTGTCTTGTACCAGTTGTGAATTTCACGGTGACTTTGATGGTGATGGTCATTTATGACTGCTCATCCGAGTCCTAGTGGCATTCCACATGTCCCAGCCTGTTGGAAGTTAAAGGGCCCGAAGGTGAAGTCGAGGCCATCTAAAGTCTCCCAAACGAATCCAGGACGCCTTCCTTTGCTCGGAGGCTTGGGGATGTTCGACTTTGGGATCCTGTATGGTTGGACCTTTTCTCTTCTCGCCGCCCAGTCTGCGGCAGCCTTACAAACCCAAGGCCTTTTGAAAGCTTCACGGAACACCTCCGCCAAGCGGCGTCCGCCGGCCAGGGCGCGTGGTCGTGCCAGCTCCCACGCCGAGGTCTCCTTCTCTACAAGGGTTGGGGGGCTCAGGTTGAGGTGTTTGCATCTTTTGACATATCTTCCGGTGAATCATACGCTTGTTTTCCGTTTCGCTTGTCTTCTCGGGAGGAATCGACATTCAGAATTCATGCTGTTGGAAGCCTGGCATGGGCCATCCTGTGAGAATCAGAGTTCATAGGTCATCGGAAACCAACTCACATAACTCACAACAAGTCTTCAGAAGCCGAACCTGCCCAAGGTTTGCAAACTGTACTCGTTCATGCGACTGGTGACAAGTAGCGCTTGCTGCCGCAGGGCAGTCATATTCTAGACACTGACGACCCGGACTCCCTTCGGCAGGGTCTCCAGGGCGAAGACAAAGTTCCCCAGGTTCGGCTTAGGCTCACGCCAATGGATCCTGAAGCTCTCAGAGCAAACATGTACATGGGTGCAAAAATTTACAAGCCTACAAGTAGCCGCCCCTCTGGAGTTGCCGATGGCAATTTTGAACTAGTCCGAGCAAATACAGAACAAGCGGATCTGGTGCACAGCAAATTACGCCAAAGCTCCAGATCGAGTGCCAAACATCTCCCGGTTCATCATCCCACCCGAAACTTCCGTCTCTGCATGCTGCTGGTCTGGCTGTATGCAAACTGTGCAAACTGTAACATGACGAGCTCAAAACAAGGACAGCAGCTTGTCAACAGCACCTCAAAGCTGTTGCAGTTCCTCCTCCATCGACAGATTTGCAAATTGAATAAGTCTTCCGCCCTCCCCCCCCCCCCTCTCCCAACCCCTGGTGCTGAACCCATCCAAGCAGCAGCAGCTCCACCAGCCGTTCAAGGGCAGGAATCGCCGGTCCGCGTTTGCGATTCCAGACCAGCACGAGCTGCACTTGATTCGATGCCCTGAGCACCGGATCTTTCTCTGCAGGATTCTGGCTTGGGATTGGCTTGTGGGTCCCGAGTTTGCATTAATTGCAGCAAGGGCAAACATGAAACTTCCACTGAAGATCCGCACTCTTCTCGAAACTACTGATTGAAATCAACCTCTTGCAAACTTTAGCAGAACGCAGCTAGCAAAGCCCGACTGGAAGGACAGGAACACAGCAGCGGATCCATTCCTGACACACCCGGATTTTGGAAACGCATAGCCACCAAGATCATGATCATCACTACTATATTCTTTGCCATAATCTTTGGGGGAAGGGGACATAGACCGCCTCTCCACCGTCAGCTGCACGAAGCGCAGGGCGCCTTGGCTGCTCTGCGCTGAGCTTTTGACGCCGGGCTGGTAGATGGCCAGAGCTTGGAAGCGATCCTCAGGCAAAGTAGGGTACGAGAGTGGGATGCACTCAATATCTGCCATATTTGATGCTGATTCTCTTGCTGCTCCTGCTTCTTCTATTGAGAATGCTATAGGACTACAAGAGTACAGCAGCATCTTTGCCCCCGTCACCATCACCATCACTCATCATCGTCATCATCGGCGGCAGCAGCGGCAGCAGCAGCAGCAGCTGCACCACCAGTCCACACGTGCTCCTCGTAATGGTGCATTTTGTTGTAGGTGAGGAGCTGATCGAGTCCACAGATACAGTAACTTCACCTTTTGCCTGCTGAGCGCCAAACCTGAACATGTAAATGCCGCTAACATATGGCCTATGCGCTCATCTTGCGACCGCTTAGTCAAGTCCCTATTTAGACCTCTCTGTGAACGTCGCGGATCCAGGGTCCCTTTGAGCCGCAGCAGCGCAGCCCTCAGGGTGGGATGCAAGGCGGCGCAGCCGAGGGCAGGCAGGACCTCCTTGTGTTGGTCATGAAAGCTTCTGACATGTTGGGCGAGGCCGCGAGGCGCTCGTATTCCATGGCTTCCCTGCGAACCTGTGCCTGCGACACCGGGATGCAAAAGGAAGAAAACACGAGGCCCACGCCGCATCATACTGCAGTTCGAAACATAGGGAATCCGAAGTCCGGGCTTCTGAAGGAACTGCCCTCGTCTCGAAGCAGTCCTGCGTGCCACGCTTGAAGAGCCCGAGCACCACGCCGTCCTCCGCGTCTTGTGTCGCTACGAAACGAGGACACAAGCGCAAACCCACTTGCACCTGCAAGCCACGATAAGAATGCAGGAGTGCTGAGGAAAGGCGATAATCGAAGCCAGCCAAACAGCAAGTCCTTGCTCGGTGCAACCGCGAGCTTTGCTCGGGTGCGATGGCCACAGGGCTCGGCTGCAAAAACCTTCGGGAATGGGCTGACTGAGAGATGTGGCATCGGGACTGCGGACCTGCTTGGTCTTGCGATATGATGCGATGTGCAGCTAAACCCCGGCGGGTCCTGTGAACCCTGCAAACAAGCATCCCTCAACCGTGGATCTATCTATGACTGTACGACAAGTTCCTACCTCATGTGCGTAAACCTTAGATGTTCAGGCCCTCAGACACGAGAACCCCAACTCGCAGGGAGCTAAATCCAAAGGCCCCATGCAGAAATACACGCGGACTGTCCACGCCCAGCGAGAGAGACATGCTGAACCGGCAAACTTTGCCGCCGACCTCGGGTGGAGTTCGCTCTGAAGCTCTCTGCCAGTCAGTCAGCCTTCGGACAGCTGGGTGGTGGAGCTGGTAGTCCTTGATGGCGAGGCATTGAATCAGGGGATTTAATTTGGATCCGACTACCATTTATAGGGTACGGTGTATTCGGCTCCCTCCTATTCGGATGTCTCAACCGCATCACCTCAAGGACATGGAGTTCCTGCCCCTATCATGTGGAACCATGCGTGCGTCCTACTTCAAACTGTTAAACATAAGCATCAATGCAAAATAACCGGGGATGATCTCTGTGGTCAGAGCAACCAAGGCAAGAACTTCCTTTGTGTACTAGTTCCAGAACATCTACACTAAGAGTTGGCTGAAGGCTTCAGGTTCAAGCTGCCATGTTGCAGCGTGGCTTAAACTTAGGTTCCCAAAATCAGAGCTAAACCATCATGCGCGGGGGCCTGACACTCTTCGTTGCTTTGCCTGTCCTTCTCACAGATCTCCGCACGAGTATTTTCTCCCGTGTCGCTGCTGCTGGCTGCTGGTGTTCTTGCAGTTTGTGCTGGTTATGACTGCGGCAATTGTCTCCTTGTGCACGTAGAACCGCAAGCTGTCGTGCCTTTGTAATTCTCGTGACCACTAACTGATGACTCAGCATCATGTGTCAAGATCGGGCTTTCTCTGTCGTCGCTGCTGGGTCAGGCTGGTGACGGCTAGTGATATTTGGGGCGAAAGCAGTGTCCTGGTCTGTCTTGAACGGATAGTTCTCTGCTTGCATTGCGCATGCCTCAGTAGACGATCAAATCAACATTCATCTGACTACTGCCCTGGAACGTGGTAAAAATGCTGCAATTGAGACCCTGGCACAACCATTTTGCGTGCAGCCGGGTGCATCACGAAGTTGCAATGCACGTCGCCTGTTTCTGCGGGTTGAGATGCTCAGCTGCGCAAGACAGTTTAGGTCTAGGTGTATGCTGCGTTCCTAAATCTTTCCTGCCAAAGCTACCTCACCGCCGACGAGTTGCTCGTAATCTGATGCGCTGGCTCCAAAACAAACGCCATGTTTTCCAACTGCGAGTGTACATCTGCCCTGCGGCATCAAACGCTCGTCGTCTCCCTCGCTTGGCCCCTGCCTTGTCTGCCTGTGCCTTGGCTTGGTCCGGAAACCGATCGACGAAGCGAGTGCCTAAGTTCTCGGACCATCGCAAGCCATGGTTTTCAAGGCTTCTGGGCAGCAGGTTCTTGTTGCCTGCATGAAGTTTTCGGGGGTTTAGCGTTGCACTATGTTGCACTCACTCTAAATTGATGGCAAATCTCCACCCAACGATGCAGCTGCAAATAACAATACAGTAACTGGCTCTGCTCGGACTGCCACAGCTACGACACCCAACTCCGCTCGCACCACTTGCTGTTCTGATATTGCGAGTGGCCGCTGCGCAGCCTGCTCGTAATGGCATCCACCCATGACGAACAGTCTTCCACCTTGTGCTGTATGATGCGATGTCAATGCAAAGGGTTCAGGATAAGCAGGGACTTGAGAGGTTAGGGTTCGACTACCGGAGGTTTGGGCATTGTGTGGCTGCGAAGCTGATATTCACGGGTCGGGCTGCTATGCTAAACTTAGTGATGCAGGACTGCCCTCTCCCTGGCATATCCACACCACGAGACTCGAACCATGCTGCATGCAAACCACTCACTTGTAACATATCAGTCAGGGAGCTTTTCCGAACAGCTCTCTGCGAGCGGCTGCACGCATGCACCGCAGCTGAATGCCCACTCTCGATGCGCCGCATGGATGGGCACAGGGCACGGGGCAACAGCCGTACCGTCCATGCCAGTGTCCAGCACGCAGGCAGGCTAGATGGGAACTGCGCACGGCTGCGGGGCCGAGGGTTTGTTGTACTTGCAGCGAAGAAACGCAGGACTACTACGAATCGGCCTCAGAGGCCTAACCTCAAGCCCAAGAGATGTCAAGTCAAGTCCGAAACGCCAAACCTCATTTATGGCGGAAATCCAAGACACAACCAAACCGAAAACGAATCCAATGATAACAATTGACACCAAAACGAGCATGATCATGTCGGCAGGTTCTGACCTGGATGATGGTGCAAATGGCAAGTAAGCCTAACGGCAATCACATGTCTGCGCCCCACATAGTACATGCTGCGAACATGCAGGCATCGACAATCGGCGGGTGTTGCGGTGAAGTCACAAATTGCTCCCGACCGAAGTCCCAAGATGAGATCTGATGAAATCCCCGAGTCCATGGAAAAGGTAAGCTGATATCAAACGACCGCCCGGCAAACCCAACCTCTGGCTTTCAACAATCTGGGCCACTGGCAATGGAGATATTTTTGTTTTTTCTGATTCTGTCCTTAGGCCGGCTTAGCTCTGCAAACGGTCGTTTCCGAAACGGAACCTTCGTCTGCACTGGCTGCACTGCTCCAAGCGTCTGCTTCCTCCTCAGGCATGGCGCTCACGGCTGGATGTACCTGGTAGAAGTCCTGCGGCAATGAACTTCGGCTTAATTTCCTCACACGCAGCCATCGTAATTCTGATTCTGATGGCCCACAGCAGGAAAGTCCTTCTAACTACCATGCAGTGCAAGGCCCAACGTTCCTTTTTGCACAAATGTTCTGATAGCCGTGGCAAAACGACACGAAACACGAAACCCTGGCGACTCCTTCTCGAACTTCGTGAGCTTCTCCTGAGGGTGGAGCTTCGAAGTTTCGGGCTCTTGCAGGCGATGGCAGCTCCCTAGTAACACCGAGAAGAAGGCTTTCCCTAACAGCCAGACTGATCGAGCTCGGAGCCCTGGTTTGGTCAGAACGAAAAGCAAAACGCTCGCGCTATGCATCTCGATGCAAGTCGATGTAGCAGCTGTAATCCACTGACAGCCCAGGCCAACCTACACGAGGAAAACACACGATTCCGCCTGTCCCCCTCTTCCGTGTTTGCCCTGCCCCTCCGTCTCCGGCGGCGTAGGAATTCCCCAAACCCCCAAAACGACCCGACAGACACCTCAAAGTTCTATCGCGCGAGACAATCCAGGCCTCGCCCCAGCTGATGTTGCGAAGGCTGCTGCCCAGGTCTTTGCTATCATAGGAGCCGTAACCGCCGCCACCGCCCCTGTAACAGTACAGTAGATACTGCAGTTGAGGGGGATAGGGGGGGCTGCAGCAACAAAGGTTTGTGAGCTGGATTTTCAGGGTCGGGCATCTGAATGATCTCGCACAAGCACAGGCCGCAAAATAACGACATGTTCGTCGCTGCGGGGGTGTGTCATCACTGCTCTCACTCTTTGCATGCCGCGCCCTCCGTAAACTTGAATGAACGACAGGTCACCCAAACTGAAAGTTGTGGATGTTGCAGTGTCCCGGCAAATCTTTCTAACAATCATGCCTGCTGGAGCCATTGTCCCGACCCCGGTCACGGTAGTCTCGACCTTGAGAAACACCAGGGCAGCATGTTTATTCATTACCTGCGAATTGCAGCCCATGCCCAGCTCCGACATGCCTTTTTGTCTCACACTGCGTGGTGCAACGCGTTAGCCAGGCAGCCGGACCTGTCCCGGCACAAGTGCAAAATCAACAGCATCAACAACATGACTGCACAACAGGCAGGACCTAGGACTCGTTGATCACTACCGGACATCCTCGGACTCCATCGGAAAACCCGAAGCCTGCTGGACAGAAGCCCATAGGCGCTCCACGCTGGAGTCAGAGCCACTGCTCTGTCCTGCATGGCTCTGCAGGATACAAGTCAGCTCGCTTAAGTTTGCCCAAACCTGGTCTGGGAACTAAGCGCAGAATTTCGATGTGTCCGGCTGGAAAGACAACTCAAACAGGGTTCCGCTTCACAGGAGGGGGGCTGCGACTGCAGCTTGAACTCGACATGTCAGTGCTGGACCAGTAATTCAAACGGGTGCAAAAAGGAAAAAAGGCCCACGTGGAACATCTTTGGTCAAGTTTGGAAGCCATGCCTAAGGCCCATATGCTTTCAAGCATCACAGACTTGAAGGAACACGAACCACCCAAGAGTCCCCCAAAAACCTTCAATTTCGGAGCTTCCTCTCGAATCTCCGGCCCCGTCCTTCTGGGGCTTCGCTCCCGGGGTCGGAGGCCTCCTCGATGGTGTCGAGCATGGCCAAGCGGCCTGACATGCCCTGCTGGGCCGGTCATGTGCGACCCCTGGCCGCCACGAGAAGGCAGAAACTCACTCGGCTTAGGCAGTAGACTTTGAGCAAGCTCTCTCAAGAAAAAAAGGTTGGCAATTGCTCCTCGTCACCTTGTAGGACCTTTGTCTGACAATCCTACTCCCGTGTACTCCCGGGTACAAAAGTGACCAAAAGGCCAAGGACATAACAATGCCCCTCGCATGCGTGAGGCCTTTCCGGGCACGACGCGCGCTTCTCCTGGCACGGCAGGCTACTGCATGCAGGAAAACTTTTAAGGACGATGGTCTTTCGGATCTTTGAGTGACGGTCTCTGACCCGACCCTTCGACCCTCGTAGCTTTCCCTGGCCTCGCGTCCACTTCCTCTGCGTCAACCTCCAAAAAGCTTAGGTTTCCGGGTTCCGGATCAGGTGCTATTGAGCATGCAGGGCTTGTTTTCTCAACATCTTTCCGGGTCTTCACTTCCAATGTCGGTTGAAACGCACGGTCAGGAAGAAGTAGCTAGCAGCAGCTAGAAGCCAAAACATGATGGCGAGGTGATTGGAGAGCACGCGTCGTCCCATGCCGCGGAATCTCGACACACAAGCCCCTGATCATCACAGCAAAGTGATTAACAGCTTCAGGTCGGACCCGGCATAGCGGAAGTCGGACATTCTGCATGCAACGGGAATTGAAAATGAATTTGACCCATTGCTTTCTCTTGCCTCTGGGGCCCTCCCGGGGCCATTTAGCAGTCGAGGATTGCTTTGTTTGTGCTGGGGTTCAGGATGCATGTCTGGCGGACACAGTGGGCCCTGAAGGCATCGCTCAACGGCAATGCCTTGTCCGCCCAAGGCTTCTGCATTGGCCCAGCCAAGTAGCCTCTGGAAAGGGGCATGATCGCGAATGAAACAGTCCCATGTTGCCAAACATCTCAGGCTTTCCCAAACAGTGCAGAGCTTCTGGAGGCCTTTGAGAGTCGCTGCGGGTTGGAAGTGCTGGCCTATACGATTATACTGTCACGCATTGAAGCTGGAGATTCGCGGCCTCATCCATATGTGCAGGGTACTAGCCTGATATGAGCAGGAGCCCGGAGCAGAAATCAAAGATGGTCAAGGGACACTTGAATGCCGTCTATGCCCTATAGATGCCAGGTTGCTGTCGCCCATGCCGGACCTCTCCGAACAATGTGCCAGAAACTCTTTGGCGTTTCAGGCTTGTGGCTACCAGTCGATTGTGGATTGAGAACTCGGACTCGCAACCAAAAAGCATGGGAGCTTTGGAAAAATCAGATGCCCTGATAAACACACTAACATAGGAGGAGCCGTGATATACGGGATTCCCTACAGCAAATTTCAGAAGCCGACATGTGTCCTTCAACCACACGAGCACCACAAGGCTGGCTGCTCTACAACCGGACGGCAAAGTCGCTGAAGCTGCGGACTCAGGGTAGTCAAACTTTGAAAACTTTGACCCTTGCAGGGACTCTGTCAACAGGGATTAAATTTTAACTCGTGGTTGTACGGGTCAACGAAAGCAAATGCAGCCCTTGCAGTTAGCTGCAGTGGTACCTCTACGTGACGAACTATGAATCCTAGAATCCTCGAAGGAGAAATCCTGTCACTTAGCAAGCCATATGAAGCCATACACATGCCATCTGTGAAATCTCAAACTCGCAGCCCGCAAAGAGCTGCAGCGGCCTGAGGCTCCTCCACGGCTCCCCAGCAACGGCTTGCGACGGGGCGCCGCTGCTTTGGCCGTGCTCGGGGTTCCTGGTCTCACCTCAAGCTGGCCGCCAAGATTCCGACACCCTACCCTATTAGCCTATAAACTTTGTAAACCTGTACAAACCCTAAACCCCGAAGCCCTGCCATGACCCGGGAACTTGTTGCCCGGATCCAGTGCAGCAACACCCTTCCTGCAAAACCCCGAAGTAGAACAAAGTAGGTAGGTGTTGCAAAGTTTCTGGAACCCTGAAATATAACGAGTTGGTGGACAAATCCAAAGGCCTACGGAGTTGCAGGGTCGCCCAAAGCTTGATTGTGGGTACTTCAGGCTCACCACAGGATCATACTCGACATACTCGAATTTGCGTTGCGGAATCTGGGATAATCGGCGCTTTTGGTAATATTCACCGGTCCAATGCCGCCTTGCTTCTCGAGGAGCTCACGCTTGCCAAGCAGGTGAACTCCATGTCGGCTGCCGCCGCTGGCACAGCCTGCAGAAACAAGCAGGATCGGAGTAACTCATTGCTGGGAAACGCCGTCCTTCGCGATAGATTTTTATTGTGGCCATACGACCCATGCAATTGCAGAAACAAACGCTCAGTGCTTAATGGCACCAATAGCTTAAAGGCAATTGGGTCAGCCGTCACTGGACACGAATGCTCGAAGGATCCAAACAAGGCAATAGGCAACAGCCACGAGTCTCTTTTGCCCTGGCCTCAGCTGGCTTTGCATGGCTGCTGAGGTGCTGCATGTCCTTGAAGGATGAATCCTACTCTGCTGACCACGCAGGAGCTGCTAATCTGATGAGGCCATCATCGGATTGTCTCTTTGCCCATCATTGCAGACGCGCCATCCCCGACACGATAGGAGTAAATGAAGGCCACCAAGGTAATGAGTAGGCTGGATAAACATGATCAAGCCTTGAGGTGCAAGCTTGTCCTGAAATAGCCAC